AAAAACGTTGAACTTTTTATAGCAGATTTTATTATTGTTGCACATAAATCACAGCTAAAATACTCGCGTCATGTTATAAGATTTACAAAAAAAAAAAATGTTTACAAAACAATAAATGAAAACATTTTTATTGATGATATATTTTAACGATTCAATTAGATACCTATTAATCCACGTTAATTTCTTAGATTTTACTTTTTTATAACAATTAGGTTTAAGAATATGTATTTTAGATTAGCATAAATTAATTTTCATAGGTTATTTTTTTTATGAAAACATTTATTCAACATTTTTAAGGAAATTGTCTGAAACATTAAAAAAAATAGTTAATTCTATTTATCAGTTCTGCGATAGCAGTCAACCGGTGCGCACGCGTTCTCTCTGTGCGCCTCCAATGTGTTTACTGTTTTCCTTACCTACCTCAAATTTCACGAATTTGCTTACGGGTTGTAATGTTACTCAACTTCCTTCGGTTTTGTGCGATTTTTTAAGTTATCTTATTCACTTGCTCCGTTACAATCATACAATACAAATAAATATTTCGCAAACCGCCAGGTGCGTGTATACGCGATATACCGTATACGTCGTTCTTATCAAGTGCCGCCACGGCGGCCTTGTAGTAATTGTAATTACTATTATATTAATAAATACGCTATTGCTGTTCAGTACTTCGATTCTACCGTAATTAAACTAATCACAGTTCTACCTGAAAATGGCAAATCATAATAATAAACCTTCTATCTCGTCCACAAACGTAAATAAAAACATTGGATCTCTTTCAAACAAAACTAACAGTTCTTCAGACGGCGAGTGGAAAACTCAGCAAAAATCAAAAAGAATCCACTCGGACTCCTCAGTATCCGATAATCCTACATCACCCAAATCCCAACACGTAAAAAATTATTTTCTACAACAAATCGATTTGAAGTTCTCTCTCAAAATGTTAACACAGACGAAAACTTGGACGACAAACTTATCGATTTAAAACCGCCGTTTATTCCGGATACAATCAAACCACCTCCTCCTATATTCGTCAAAGGAGTTGAAGATTTCCCCGAACTTTGCCTGACCTTAATCGAACTTATTGGTGTCGATAACTTTATATGTAAGTCTACGACTGATTGTTTAAAAATCCAAACGACGAACCCTGCTGCATACAGAACATTAGTGCACTTTCTTAGAGATGAAAAAGCTGAGTTCCATACGTACCAGCTCAAGGAGGACAAGCCTTTACGAGTCGTTATTCGTAACCTCCACCCAACCACACCATTAAATTTAATCAAAGAAGAGTTAACTGTTCGCCTATTCGAGGTAAGGCAAGTAACTAATGTTCTCCATAAGGTAACAAAAACCGCCTCCCCCTCTTCTTCGTTGATCTAGAGCCTACTACTATTGCAAACGAAATCTTCAAACTTACATCGCTATTGCACACCAAAATCAAAATAGAAGAACCGTATAAATCAAAAACTATTAGCCAATGCTTCAATTGCCAACAATATGGCCACACTAGAGCATATTGTGGCTATAAATCCAGATGTGTCCACTGTGGTGACGAGCACCAGTCTTCTGCTTGCCCTAACTCACGTGATCTTCCTCCAAAATGTGCACATTGTTCAGAAAACCATCCAGCCAACTACAAGGGCTGTTCAATTTACAAAGAGGTTCAACACCGGAAACGACGCAGCCCAACAAGTAATTTTATACACGATAACCTTAGATCTAAACCTATAAATGTACAAGGTAGCCACCTTCCTAATCATACTTACCTAGTCAACCTCCACCTCTAACAAAAACATATGCTCAGGCTACGCACAACACGCACACCAATAATAGTATACCAACTGCTCCAGAAACCAATGCTCCTGACATAAATAAAACGTTGTCATCGTTTCTTGACGAATTTAAATCTCTCATACATCCTATGTTATCTCTTCTCACAAAATTAATCTCCAGCTTAATAGATAAAAACAATGCCTAATTCTAACAATAAAAATTCTGTCACTGACAACTCACTCTTAATACTTCAATTCAATGCAAATGGACTTAAAAATCACGCCCTTGAACTAGAAACTGTTTTAAATAATAAGCGCATCGATATTGCGTTCATAACAGAAACCCACTTCATTAAATATTCTTATGTTCGTGTCCCTGGGTATACTTTAATAAGAACTAACCATCCAGATAACACCACTCATGGGGGCGTTGCTATATTTGTAAAATCCACACTTGTTTTTCATCCTTTACCAAACTTTTGTCAAGATTTTCTTCAATCTTGTGCCATCAGTCTTATTGTAAATAATACTTCACTCACTGTTGCAGCAATATACTCTCCTCCAAACATAGTCGTTGTGCGGGCATTTATTTTTTTCCGAAATGACGATATTGCCGATCGCCAATATTAATAACAAACCGTACAATGTATAAAGTATAATACACCAAATTCACAGACATTACTATTTATATTTTTCCAGAAATGACGGCGTTGTCCTTTATCATAAACACCATAAAATCTTTAATTATAAAAATAGTTTTAATATTATAAATCGTAAAATTCGCTTTCAAATTGACGTAAATTGAAATTCACATAAAAATTATTTTGGACATCAATTAGGATGAACGTCTCCCCGTTCCGGTGAAAAAATATAGTTGGAGTACGCAAAAAAAAAAAAAAAAATAGTAGAGGAACTCTGTCCCTCTGCGAACCCCCCCCCCCCCAATTCGAGCACTGGTTGTATTGTAATTAAATTGTATTTTGAACATTCACTCATCTAAACAAAAATCAATTTAAACTAGGGGTCTCGTTTTTGTACGTGAATATGAATGTACGTGTTCACGTATACCGTGATCACGTGAATGAATCAAAATAAATCACGTATGGTTAATCAATACGGCAATCAACGAAAGCTTAATCACGTGAGCACGTATCTGAATCATAATCAAGTGATCACGTAAATTGGCATTAATCAAAAATATGATAGTATAAAATATAATTATTTATAAAACAAAAAGAGTTTGTTAATTTTATTAATGATACCTACATGATGGTCATATATTGCATTACAAAAACCGATTTTAGGTACTGTTTATTATGTTGTATTTTATTTGAAAATGTATTTATAATTTTATTGATTAGCTTCATGATCTTTTATTGAACTCTGTAGTGCCCGTCGCGTGTGACTTATCTAGTTGTTGGATAAGTAGTGGTGTGCCGGGAAATCTATGTGCTCGTGGCAATTCACGACGTCCGATTGTGAAAATAGAACTCACTAATACCATCATTTTGATTGAACGTTACAAGTTACAATTCTACAATATACAATCGTAAACAATTATCATATATACGAATAAAAATACCAAAATGTATGTAATGAAATCCTCCTATCATGACTTTATCGATACCTTGATAATAATTAGATATTAACGTAGTATACGACGAGTTTAGTTTGCGTGCAACCTTTAAGTGACCGTATTCATTAAAAAATAAAAGTTTTCTTGGTGAAAATGGTGAAAAGAAAAAGTTAGGTATGGGATTATGCCAAACGTGAAAGTGATCGCGCCTTTTGCGATTTATGTGACGGTGAAGGTAACAATAAATATTCTTGTGTAGGTAGCATTACAGAGTTTTTAATAAGACATTTAGAAAGTGTTCATGGTATTAAACAATCAATTTTGTAGAAAAAGTTAATGCAATTAATATTTAACTATATTTGATATTTTATTAAAAAATTGTAAAGACGCTGTAAGATTGAAATTTAAAAATAAATAATTACAAGACAATAAACAAAAGGTTTTTATTTACATAATAAACGGTGCTATGATGTACCCGATTTTAAAATCATAACCTCAAATGTTTTAGAGCAAGTATTTTCACCCTTGTTATCTTATAATCATTCTTTTTTTAAATTCCATTCCGTTTATATGTTCTTAAGATTCGAAAACATTAATTTTTCATAATTCTAAATTATACGGGAAAATATATTGGTAAATAGTAAATTTTTATTTACTATTTTATACTAAGAAATCAGATAATATTCTGTTTTAAATACACGTTCACGGTTTATTAAAAGTTGGGAAACACTGGTTCCTACCCGGTTTACGACAGTCGTTATTACGTGAACCTTATAAACTTTATTTTTGGTATATTATATATTTCTATATACATGATCTTTATAAAACAGTTTTCGTGATATCAATACTATAAAAATTGAGCTCTTAATCTATAAAAAACAGTTAAAATCGTTCCTATTCACCCAAATTACGGTACATTATATTTAAGATACAATTTTATGTTTTTATAAATAAGTTCTTTAAAGTATTTAATATAAAGATAATAAAATTATAAGTATTTATTTAATTACATTTATATTATTATTCCATTAAACCTATTGAAAAGTAACTTATAGCCTATAGGATAAGTAAATAAATTAATGTTTTACTATCTTTGATGTTATTATTTAATTGGGTAAATTGAAACGTTTTATGTTCTTTGTTTATCATCATGAAATCATTATTCATTACCAGGGCTCGGAACTTTATGCATTTGCATCTTTCTCAGGAAGCTGCATATTTCAAATCTGATTCGATACAAATTCGTTTCATGAACCATACAGTTGAAATACAAAAGTTGATGTTGCATATTTTTGCATATTTTACCAAATTTATATGATTATGCATATTTAAAGATTTTGAATATATAAATGCATTTTATGGTAAAAATTTATAAGAAATCAACAACAAACAATTTTTTGATAATTGAATATTGTAAATTAAATAATTTAAAAATAAATAGCCGCCGCACACTGTTTCCTATTCTATATTTGCTATGCTATCAATCATGCTCGCCCGCATGGTTTATAGGTTTTTACTAAGAAATAAGAATTGGGTCGTTACCGTAATGACCGCCCAGGTTTTATTTATATTAAAGTCGCTCATTAGATAAAATCGATAAAATCGTTGTATATTCGTGGTGTGTGTTAGTATGTGTTTGATCGTGTGTCGAAAACATATTCGATAACGGTGGTCTGTTACTTAAATAAATTAGTGTGTTCGTAGTTCGTATTGTTTGCTTACCGTGCTCGATTACCGCTTATGTGCCACGTAATATTCTGATTTTAATATTTGTTAAACAAAAATTAAAATGCCTAAAAAAAAAAAAAAAAATTTAAGTAGTCGTTTAAATACTTTCGTGTCTGAGTTCGGTAAAAATGTTTTTAGTATTGACACTAGGGTATTATTTTGCAAATATTGCGAAACGAAAGTCGATTCGGATAGAAGATCCAGCGTAATACAGCACTTGAAAACAGAAAAACATTTGTGTTCTGTTAAACGTAAAGAAAATCAACAAGAGACCAAGTGCCAACAACTATTAACCAATGATTTACCGTCTAAAAAATCGAAGTTCAACCTGGATTTATGCAAAGCTATGGTCTCGGCTAATATACCACTAAATAAACTATCAAATATAGAGTTTCGGACATTTTTGGAAGTTTTTTCTGGAAAAGATGTCCCCACAGAATCAGTACTTCGAAAATTCTATTTAGACGACTGCTACAACGAAATGATGGAAAAAATTAGGCAACGTGTTTTCGACCGAAAAATTTGGGTGTCACTTGATGAAACAACAGACACAGAAGGTCGGTATATAGCTAATGTAATAATAGGGACTTTAGAAGAGGATACTGCTGGTCCAATTTTTTTACTGAATACTGAAGCACTAGAAAAGACCAATCACTCTACAGTTTCTAAACTTTTTTACAAATCTTTAAGAATTTTATGTCCTAATGGGATAAGACACGACAACGTTTTATTATTTTTGTCCGACGCTGCGCCGTATATGATAAAGTGTGGAAAATCTCTGAATGCACTCTACTCTAAAATGGTACATGTGACTTGTGCTGCTCATGGCCTCCATAGAGTTTCGAAGGAAGTACGAAATCAATTTGGTACTGTTGATAAAATTGTAGTTAATTTAAAAAAAAATGTTTAAAAAAGCACCATCACGCATACAAATTTTAAAAAATTACGCTCCGGATATCCCTTTACCTCCAGAACCAATTATAACCTGATGGGGTACCTGGATCAATGATGTACTTTATTATTGTAAATATTACGAAAAAATTCGTGATGTTGTAAATATGTTGGACTCCAATGATGCTTTAAGTATTAAAGTTTAAAAAAAAAAATTTGGTAAAAGAACACGTTCAAAATAATTTGGTGTATATTACTTCAAATTTTAAAGTTCTTTTTGAATCAATTTTGAAACTGCAGACAAAAAACATGCCTTTAGCTGAATCGTTGAGTATCGTGGACAATGTTCAAACACAATTAAAATCCGTTCAAGGTGAACCAGGGAAAAAAGTCTATGAAAAAATGGAAAATTTTTTGTCTAAAAATATCGGATTAAAAACATTAAAACAAATCTCGTCAATACTTAGTGGATCTATCTCCACCATGGATGGTCTTCCCGAAGATCTGTCAACAAATGACCTTATTTTCTACAAGTACGCACCAATGACGTCAGTGGATGTCGAAAGATCATTTTCTGTTTACAAAAACCTTCTGAGCCAAAACAGACGATCATTTAAACTTGAAAACATAAAAAAGTATCATATCATTCAGTGTAATTTAGGTAAATATAACAATGAATACCTAACATGATTTAATAATCGCTGTATTTGATAAATTCTATTTTTTTTAAATTTAGGACTCTGGGAATAGATCCAGTGTAGAACAGCTTCATTATCAAAAGAAAAATACAAATAAAAAAAAAAAATTTTTTGTTTCTATAATTATTAATTATGCTTTTAAACACATATTTTATAAAATAATAAATGCATATTATACCGCATATTTTGGTGTTTTTTTACTGCATACGTATGCACATATTTCATGGTTTTTTAGCGCATAAAGTTCCGAGCCCTGGTTATTACATATCAAAAGATTATTACAGTTATGAATCATCAAAGAAGAGTCGATATTCGTATTTTTATAAACCGAGAACTTCATAAACATAGATTTATCCACATTTAAAGATAAACCTCTCTCATTTATACAATTATATATTGAGTTTAATCCTTTAGTAGCTTTATGATAAACCTCATTCCAAGAAGGACCCGAAAATAACATACAACTGTCATCAGCGTAAGTAACTATTTTACCATCTATATTTAGGTTACATAAATCATTTATATAGAGTATGAACAATATTGAGCCTAAAACACTTCCCTACGGAACACCATATTTTATAATATTGCTAGGATTTTATGTTATTATTTAATTTTACTTGTTGAAGTTTACCGAAGAGGTAGCTTTAAAACCAAAGTAAACTTCTTTTGTTTATTCCAAAAGTAGGTAGGATCTGAGACAGTATATCATGGTTTATAGTATCAAAAGCCTTCGCAAGGTCTAGGAATATAGCAATAGTTTTTGTTCCACTATCTAATGAGTGATACAGAAATGGTGTAACTTCATACAAAGCATTTTCAGTACTTAACCCTTATCTAAAACTAAATTGATTTTTAGAAAATAAATTATTATTTTCTAGATATGTGATAAGTCTTATTTTGATAATTTTTTCAAATATTTTCGAAAAGTTAGTCAACAAATATATTGGTCTATAATTTGACATATATTTACGATCACCTCCCTTGAATAACGATTTGATTATTGCGATTTTGAAGTCATCTGGGAAAATGCTTTTCTTAATACTTAAATTATAAATAAATAGTAAAGGGCAGGTTAGAATGAATTCAAATATTTATTGATCTAATTTTTTTTTTGACTTCCATGAAAACCAATTTTGCTGAATTTGAATAAAATAATATGAGCTAATAACTCAAAAAAAATCAACTATATGCCAAATATGCCAATACACACAAAACATGTTCTATTAAACTTTAGATTTTTATTATCGTTGTTATGAAACAGATTTTTATACAAAAAAAAACCAATAGTTCTGATGTTGAAACTTTTTTCCCCCACAAATTAATATTCAAGATGACCGTCAAGGCGATAACTTAAATTAAAACTTAACTACCCTACTTGATTCAACACAGTTATGAAGATAGTATCAAATTTCACTACTCGGATAAAGGATATAATGCAATGTAATATGTAGTTTTAAAATTATATATATGAAATACTTTAATTTTTGTATCGAGTATCCAAGAAAAGTGATGATCGGTGAAATTTTTACTAGTAAAAATTAGAGCATTATTGCATGGGGTATCATTATTGCAGTAATAACAGGAAATCAGATACTAAATGCATGCACATTTAAATCCACGTGGAATAACTATACCAATATTTCAGTTTTATGAAAATTAATGTAAAACTGATAATAGTTTTTGCATTTTTGAGGGCAAATCGAAAATACTCGTATATCAGTTTGAATAACAATTATTTATGAAATAATTTGAACCCAACGTATGATAGACATGTAAAATGTAGATATATTATATTTTCATTATTAGTTTTATGTATTTAAAATGTTAGTGGATATAAATAATGATGTCCATTAGACAGATCAAGAAAATCTTAAAAATTTTTTAAAATCAATATAGTACATCATCGTAGTGATGAGTAAGTAGTGAAAGTAAGGATTCGAGTTGTATAGACTAAAGAAGTACTAACATGATTTATAAAGAAAATATAATTATTTCTAAAAGTTGTAAATCATTTTATCGTTCGCTTTTGTTATATTGTTTTACGGTTTCATTAAACGAGCACTACTGATTAAAGGTCAGAGTAGGTTTTATTTTATATATAATTTTTTTTTTTGTTCCATAAACAATACTTGAGTATAACCCTTCAGTTTTCTGTTCAATATTTTGAATAATTTCAATAAGGGTAGAAAAACTAATGTTAAACATTGTTTTCTCGTTTCCATAGATAGTAGAATATCTGTTAACTATATACATAAACTAAACTTGGAAAAATATTATTTAGTTTTACAACCACAAGTTGTATGCCTTTAAGCCTGAAAAAACCGCATTTATGTTCTGACTCCTATGTATGAAAATATTTTTACTATCTAAGATCTATTCTGTTGTTATCAAAGATGCTTGTCACATCTTACTCGATATGTAATCGACATCGTTTTAATACCTGGCAATTCATCTTAGACAGTTACATTTTCTAAACAATTAGAAAAGCATATTCTCCTTAATGAACTATCCACATAAGATTTCTGCATTTTTAAGGCATAATAATAATAAATTATAATTTTACAAACACTACAAAATTAAATAATTTAATGTTATTTATTATTATATTTGTATCATACGAGTAAGTAAAGTACCTAATAAAAGTGCAATGATGTATACGTAATAAAAATATGTAATAGATATATGTTTTAAGCTATACGGTTTAAATCAAATTTATTGTAGCTCGATATATCTACACTAGATTCTTATTCATAATTATTTATAGATCTCCGAATGATTATTTTCATTTATCACAATTATTTTAGGATTTAAGTACATGTTAAAACAACGAAATACTGTCATAAAAGTATTTAACTTTTACAAATAATATCACTGAAGTATACGATTAGACACACTTGGTAAATATTATTTTGATATTGCATTATTGAATTTTAGGTAATATTTAATAGTTACTTTTATAGTCCATACTAATGGTTTCAATGGTAATGTTTACTAAAATCTTTGTGATCTGATTTAATTGAAATTCAGCTTCAGATAAGTAGAATTCAGTTTATTCTATATTAATGTATTAATGAATTATAGTTCTAAATGTTCGATGTCGTAATTTGTACTCGAATCAATTAATACAGCGTTTCTTTTACTTTTATTCATAGAACCCTATTTTATGTCCACTTTTATCGTGTAACCACTACTATTTTTTTTAGCATATTAGCTTTTAAAAATAAGTTATTACAGCTCAAAAAATAGAACCCTTACTTTTTTTCAATAGTTTAAATGCGTTGTTTTATGTAAGGATTATCATATTATTTATGTAAAGATTATTTGTAATAAAAATTGAAATAATTTCGTTTATTAATTATATCTATACTATATTTAATTAAAACAAATATTTTAATTAAATAACAGATAAACAAAACTTCTAAATTTTAATTTTAATGAAATTAGTGAAATTGCTTTTAATTATTATAAATATTCTT